ACGAAGTTCAAGTGTATCAATTAACAGAGGAATAAATTGAGAAGCGACAAGCGATCGTAATTCGACTTGATGTCGAAATTCGAAAACTTACTCTAGTTAAATGTGAAGGTCTCCTTTTCTTTTTTTTTTAATTACCAAGTAGAGCCCATTTTGATCGGTTGTGATTAACAAAATAATTATGCGAACTTGAATGAAGTAATTAACAATTCGATTAAACGAATGAATAAACAGTTAGTCAACAGCGAGCGAGATCGTTGGATCGATCATGTGAAAGGTTTTTAAATGGAACGCAGACTCGATTTTCATTCACGGCAGCGAACAGGGTAGCGATAGGAATTTAATCAATTTAACGATAAAGATTTTTGTTTATTTTAAAGTTCAAGTTCATCAAGTGCTTTCATTTATTCATAAATACACTGCAATAGTAAATTCCTATTAGTTTAAAAGGTTAGAAAGATTACGCGAACCCATATAGGCGAATAGATCGAACGAATGCGTTATGTCTATATTAGTCGAGAGTGAAATAGCTCTCAATCAATCATTGTAAGGCCGAGTTAGCTTAGAAATTCGCAGCATCTATTGATCATTTAAACGCAAGATCATTGATTGATTGAGCCGAGCAATATAATTCGATTTTGGTCAATCGTGCAAGAAACAGCACCCGCTTGAACTTAATTGCAATAATTTAAGCTTACATTATGTGAATGGAAATATCGTGAAAGAGTGATTGGCATGAAATGGTTTACGTCAAAATTTTGAATCGATTAAAAAAACCGTTTACTTTTAATTCAGAATGAAAGCGATAGGTATGTGATTGAAGAAACTTACAATTACACTAACAAAACGCAAAAATTCCGATGCGAATGTGCAAATATTTTTTCCACTATCATGATTTCAGTAAGATCGTTTAACAATTTAAAAAAAAAAAAAAAAAATAAAAAAAAAAACACTCTTAAAAACATTCCATCAAGCGAAAACAGAAGTTTAACCGCCTCAGGCCTACATAACCTGTCTCGCACTTCAACATATGTGGTCAGTGTTTTTATTTATTTATTTATTTATTTATTTATTTTTTTTCTATTTACATACTTAAAAAATTCATAAAAAAATCCAAATTAAATTTAAAGACATGTGCGTACGTACTCGCTACGCCTACTTATGCCGGCTTAGCTGTTATTTTGATGTGTTTGTGCTTCGACTACATACGTATCTATCCATCCATTTCTACGACTTGTCTTTCATTCATCCATTTAGTTCTTTATGATGTGTTTATAAGTTGTAATATAGTTTATTTCACTTTTTATATATGTGCATGTGTATGTGTGTGTGGACATGTTTCGATTAGTTTCTTATTGTTAATGGCCTGTGCATATGCATGCGTGTATGCAGAAGTTTGTAAATATATGAATAATATATATATACATATATATGCGTGTATGTGTTTATGTAAGTGTGCGTATTTAAGTGTGTGCTTTGTGAGGCAATAATCATAAAAAATCGGTGTACCATCTCATGTCATTTTCCAGTTATATTATTAATAAATCTCTTGTCTTCTTTTAGAAATTGTTGTTGGAGTTGTTTTTGTTTTTTTTTTTTTTCTGTTTTTATACATAAATCCGGTTTTATTGTTCACCTATAATTTTTTTTGTTAATTAAAAAAAGTTTTAATTTTATTATTAATGTCAAATCTGGTTTTTTTGGTGTTTTTTTTTTTTTGTCCGTTGCTTTTTTCCCTACATATGTGTCATCCAAATTAGCCTGGGGAAGGGGAAAAAAACAGGTGTATAAGGAATAAATTTAGTTGAATAAGATTGAAAAAAAAACAAAAAAAAAAAATAAACTTCAAAATTATTATATAAGCGCTGATCGTGTAATACGATCCATCAAAATGTGTGTTTTTTTCTTGTTTTTTAGATTTACTTCACAAAATTCAAGTTTAGGACTTTGCTTGAGTTGCGGTTAAAAAGTACCTTACCGTGCTATTTCATTATGCTCAGGTGTTTCCTTGTAATCTTTATAGCAATTATATCCAATTTGTCCAAAAATATACGCTACGCTGGCACTCTATATTCCCTAGAGATATTCCTAGGCCTTTAACAATGAAATCTCATCCTATTTCTACTGATTCAATGATAATTTAAAAGCTTAGTAGATAAGAAGCGTCAACTATTAAGTCGGCATAGACGGGTTCAATTCTCAGTGCGGGAATCCGCACTTTAATTGGCGATTGACCTATGGCCATAACTATTAAGAATACTCGAATTTGTGAAAGCATAAAACTTATCAATATTAGGCCATACATCTCGTAAGCGGCAACCACACTCTCTCCTCCTTTCCACGTTTCTTTCTCCTTGAACTTCACCCTGTTATCAATATAAATGAGTGAGTCGCAGTTTCCTATAAAAATTTCGTATAGGTTCAAATATTTTTTTTATCGATTATAGTAGATATGTATACATATAGACATATAGTACATATATATATATATATGTATTTGCAACGAAAATTAGACAAAACAATTCTTCCTTTAAGCAAATTAACGATTTCTTCACGAACAGTAAGAGTATAATGGGTTTGTAAAATTAAAAAAAGACAACAACAACAACAACAACAACAACATATACCAAAATCAAGATCTGCATTTTTTCGATGGTGGATCGTTTCTAAATTACGCCTGAATTTCGATTGTTCTTATATATACATATATATACACATTAGGTGTTTGCAAAAATATTGATCACTTTTTCACGTGCAAAAGGCATTTATTAAGAAAAATTGGTATAACGTATATTAATCAAAGTAGTAGTTTCCATCATTGCCTACAACGGTTTACAATATTTTTGGCAGGATGGCGAGATCACGTTGAAAGAACTCATATGGGTTTGGTGGCGATACATCCATCGACCCATTTTCGCAGTTCTTCATATTTGCGAACCCGCGTGCCAGCCAAGCTATGCTGCACCGATCCGAAAAAGTGGTAATCACGGAGCGTCGCGTCTGATGAGTACACTGCATGTGGCATAACTTTCCATTCGAGCTGCAATAGTGTATCCTGGCCAACTTTTGCAACAAGTGGGCAAAGAGAAGCATTTTCAGTCAATTTGCAAGGCAGATGTCTTCCCTCCTTTTGCACTTCGCATGTAAACGTCTAAAAAGAGTTGATTCGTCAACTGCTAAGCTGTTCGAAAGTCCTTCGAAGGTTTGTGCTGGCTTGCAATTCAGAGCCCTCCAGGGTGTCTTTTCTCATTGAACGAAAACCGATAATTGGGATATGACGGGTGCAGCGTCACCATAAGCTAATGAATGTGTTCGCCAGCATATATATCTGGAAATCAGACAACAACAACAACAAAAATGTATGACGAAAATGCAATTTTAAGGGTTCCATGATTAGGGTCGGCGTACGCTGAATAAATCGATGATATTACATGGAAAAGTGTTATTTTGTGTAGATCAAAGTCAAAATGATCGAATTCGACGATTATGTGCCCTGGTACTTCCCAGTTCTTTATCATTTTTACTTGTAAAAGTCGCTGATCAAAAGTTTTGCAAACACTTAATATATATATATATATATTGATTGTGTGTATGTGTATGTGTATTTCTGGCTAAAGCGATTCGAATGGTTTAAATGAAAGTTAATTCATAATGATTCGGACCACGGTTAGGGTACTTCAATATACGATAAAAAGCTTTTTACAAATCAAGTTTCTCTCGCTTCGCCGTTCTCTTAGTGTATTTGATGAATGGACGACGAGACAGAACAAGCTACGCATCATTCGGCTCATGTCCAAAAATCTTATTTAGATTTTATTTTCCTATAAGATTTTTGTTATTTATATGAAAATTCAATAAAAAGAAATTAAAAATAAATTAATTTATTTAAAATTAGATTTAAAGATATTAACAACAACAACAATTAGAAATTAGACGCCATTTAACTTTTCTTTTTTTTTTATTTTGTTTTGTTTTGTTTATTTTCCGTTTCATTGTAAGCGCCATTAATTCGTCTTAACAAACAATAACAACAACAATAATCTCGACAAACGAAAGAACTTTGTATTGCATTTAGTTGGCGCAGGTTTTGTTTAGCAGGCAACTGCAAAATTTAATTTTCTTTATAAAAAAAAAAAAAAATGAAAAAAAAAAAAACAAAAACAAAAAACATTAAGAAACTCATCAACAAATGACAACAACAAATTCAATATTACATATGTATATACATATCCATATACATATACAGAGAATGTATGTAAAAACTTTACTACAAATAATAGCGAATGACTATGAAATCGACAACAGCAACAATAACACACTAACAATAAAACATGTGAGATCAAAATTGTGATAATTGTTTAGCGAAATTGAACACGTGCAAGAGCAGCAAAATGAATAGGGTTTTATTGACATCGCTCCCGGAAAGAAGATGAAAAAAAAAAAATATATATATATATATATAAAAATATCGAATAGAATAGAATTTATGAGTTGTGTATGTTTTTTTGTATGTATGTATGCATGCATGTATGTACATATGAGCGAAATGACCACAACGAACAATCGGTTATTATTGCATTAATATTTTTCTCGTAAAATTGACCAATTTTGAGGTTATGTCTGATCCTCTCAATTAGCCAGTGCTACTACTTATACGATATCGATACTTTATCTCTCAACGATCTCCAGCTTAGCTAGATTTGTTTACGATTTGCCTTTGGATTAGTGTACCTTGCTTGCCCATTGCCAGAGAAAGATCGACCATTGTTTCTTTGATAATTTTCGTTAAAGACTTTGCGCATAATTTAAAAGATGTTTCTCTGAAATATTGTTCTGCTTCTTTTTTTTTTTAATTAAAAATGTTTTTTTTGAAAAATTTCTTCAATTAATGAATAGATTTCTATTTTCTTGAAATTTTGAAAGCAAAAATTTTATTTAATTATGAATTTATGTAATTTTTAAAATAATTTTCATTTTATATATTTCTTTAAATATTTTTATAGTTAACTCATGAAAAAGAACACAATAGCAGGCCGTTGTGTTAGACAGACGGTTAATATTGCGGTTAACGATAAGTATGATGATGATGATGATGATGATGATGATGATAACGATGATAATGGTGATGATTATGATGATGATGATAAAAGCGATGATTAAAGGATGATGATGATGATAATGATAATAATGAGTGACGAGTGATGCAAGAGAAGATGACAAAGGTAAAAAGTAAAACAAGAAAAAAAAAAAGCAAAAAAAAGAAAACAAAAAAAAAAAAAAAAAAACAACGCCTCACACTGATAAATAAACAATGAATTACTTATATTAAACTCCCGATATTTCTCTTTCTTTGTCTTCTTCGCAAAAGCTATTGTCTGCTTAGCTATCGCGAAAAGCAAATTAAAGCGAGAAAACAACCAAGCGAGCAAGCGAACGGCTAGGCAGGCGGGCAAATAGCTTTTTGCTTCGAAGCGCAATTTTATTTAGTGTTTAAGGCATTTTTAAAGGTATAAATTAATATTTAGCTTAAATAAGATTTAAAGAATTTTCTTTTTTCTAAAATTAATAATAAAACTAAAAATTAATTAATGGACAAATTAATTGCAATTTAATTTGAATTTTATTTTTTTATTTAATATTTTTTTTATTTTTTTATTTTACGTATTTGTGTTGTTAAAAAGCTAATTGAAAAATAGAACTTGGCATAGCTTTAAATATGTTTTACAAAAAAAGGACATAAAGGAAAATTAAAAGGAAGAAAAAATTTAATTTTTTTAAAATTT